GACTCAAGTGTCTCCTGCTATCTCCCCGGAAACAGCCAGCACTAGCTCTACCTTCCCACAGTCAAAGCAAGGAAGGGCTTGTCCCCCTGAGCTCCCATTAGTCATGTGATCCTCTGCAGTCATGCTGCCTGAGCATATCCTCTGTTATACCTCAGAAATGCAATCTGAGGGGGCAGAGGGACAGCAAAGGTCACACTAACCAAGGTACTGCATTGTGCTAAATGGTCACCTCTGCTGTCTGCAGTGTGGTCTATCAGCTTGAGAACCGAGATGTCCTTGACTTCCAATGCAGAGCTCCCATTTTTCTCTTCTCCCCTCTCTTTGAAAGCCCCTCTCAACTTAACTCTCATTTGCTGTGAATGGTCAACTCCAGCATATAAAAGAGATAAATTGGCTTACATTGTTGCTGTTCCATTTATAGCAAAGGCTCTATCTCCTTAACAGACTACCTGTCTGGATCCTCATCTCCCGACACTGCCTTGCAGCTGATGGCATGCATGAATTGAGATTCCTGTGTGAGATTCCCTTCTGCACTCCCTTCCACACACCTGATTAGCTTTTGGCTGACCACGGTATAGATGTAGATATTTGTGTCATAACCCAAGCTCGCTCGGTCCCTGTGGACCACATCCAGTATGGTTCCTTATAACACAAATTCTATTTGGTGTCTATGAAGAAACTGAGTGTGTAAGACTGCAGAGTCTCTAAGGAGACTCAGTGAAATGATGTAGCCATTCTGAGGAAAAGCGCAATTTCCCGCAGGAGGAGGAAGAGCTTTCTTGCTCTCCATCAGTACTTCCTGTAATCTAGTCTCCTTTCAAGCCCCAGCACATGCCAAACACATGTATTTCTCAACTAAAATGAGAGATGCATGACTAGGTGTGCATGCAAGCAGGAATGTTTTGAAAGAAAACAATTATTTATGGGAATTATTTCAAAAGTTTTATAATCAGTAAAAAGACATTCTGTGTAGGTGTGCCCTTTGGGTTCCAATTCATAGAAATAAAGACCCACATTTCAAATATGTGAACAATGCTGCTGAGCTACAGATGACAAACTACCTGCAGTGACTAAAGAGCAACGAAGAAAGCACACAAGCTGAAACCATGCTGAAGGCTGTGGCGGTCTGCAGGCATGGCTAAAGAGACAACAGAAGAGGGAGGGAAGTCCCACCCAGGAAACACAAACGCCAGCCACACAAGACAGCAAATGATGGTCCCCTCCCTGGAGATCAATCAACTGTGATCTTTCCCTTAGGAGGCCAGCAAACTGACAGTCAAGCCTGCACCTCCTGCCACCCTAAATGATGGGCTCCTTGGTGCGGCTGCTACCACCATCCTAAAGGAGTCCGGATGGTCCACAGCAGCACAAATCAGCCAAGATCAGGAGCTGCTGCTAGGAGTCCTGGCTCTGAATTCTGGGCTTCTGTATCTTGGCTGGCACAACACCTGTCCCAGCTTCCACTGGGGCTGAGCCTTCCACTGAGTGTGTGAGTGTGGCTGCCTTGAGGATTGATCAAGCTATCATTGTGACAGCGGAGAAGGCCCCTTCCAGGCCCCATCATTTCTGAAGTTGTTATAGCAACCACTAGGGTGGTCTTCCTGTCTTAGGGTTTCTGTGGCTGTGATAAAACACCACACCCTAAAGCACCCTGGGGAGGAAAGGATTTATTGAGCTTACAGTTCCACATCACACTTCATCACTGAAGGAAGGTGATGGGAAGTCAAACAGGGCAGGAAATCTGGGGGGCAGGAATTGAACAGAGGCCATGGAGGGGTGCTGCTTACTGGCTTGCTCAGTCTGCCTTCTTGTACAACACAGGACCACCTACCCAGGGCCAGCACCGTCCACAGTGAGGTGAGCCCTTCCACATTAAGTATCAGTCGAAAAAATGCCCCATGGGCTCACCACAGGCCAGTCTGATGGTGGCATTTTTTTAACTGAGCTAAGTCAGGTTGACATAAAACAAGTCAGCACCATTCCTGGTACATTTCCTTCAACCCTTTGTGCAGTGGTCCCTCTACAAGTGTCCCTAAACACATAGCCTCAGCATTCCAGGTATTGCCACCCACACTACAGTCATTTCTGGTTTCCTAACTCTGATCTGTGACCAGCATCCCTCCTATCTATGGCAGGCAGGGTAGGTAAGTCCAATGTGCTTGTACAGGCTGGCAATAAGGAAGTCCATAGTTAGTGAGTGGCAGATGGCGCATGAGTCCTCCCTTTATGTCTACATATGCAGCATTCATCTTGTCCTCACTGGGCCAGTGTCAGGCCTCTGTTGGAAGCACAGCGGCTTATGGAAACCCTGGTAGAACCGTGTTCTGATGCCTTTATCATCTGCTCTTGTCTGCAACAGGGATTGAGTGGGCTGGGTTCCTTTCACTGAGCATCAGGAACTACTGGCTTTGAAAATGCCAAGCAGGCAGAGAGTTGTGGAGAGAGCTGCCAGGAGCTACTGGCTGTGGTTGGGGACAGCGACAGAGAGCTGCTAAGGGGGCTGCCAAGAGCAGCTGTCAACACCAGCTGCTGACAGCTGCTGGGAATGGGAGCTCAGAGCTGCTAAGTAAGGCTGAGAGCTGAGAGCCACTGCCTTGTGAAGCTGGAACACTTAAGACGGACGTTGAACTTTGCGTTTTTATGACTTCAACCCAATTTTAGCAAAAGAACAGCCACTGACTGATACCACTTAAATCTGTCTCCTCTGCATTCAGGATTAATGTATGAACTACTGTACTATTCCACCCCACCACACAGAAAGGCATACAGCCAAAGGTTTTAATAAAATGTCTAAACATCCTACCCAGGCTAGAGTAATGGACTTATTTCAAATTGTCTTATTTCAGATGACACAGGAATAATTCTAGAAAATCATCCAAAGCCACTAGAGAGGTCACACAACTATTCCAAGCAGTCAGGACCAAAACTCAAATTTTTCCAACTCCATACTGTGAAACATCATAAAAATGAGTAAAGATTTGGGAAGCACTAAGCAATAATCAATAGCCATAATATGTGGCACATAGTAATATACAATGTGATTCAAATGATAAACACCATACAAGCATACACACATGCAACACACTTGTACTTACACACACACACACACACACACAAGTGTACACACATGCACACATGTGGGTATGCACATACATGTGCAGGCATGCATGCACACATGTCCCACCACAAGCACACACACAGGCACAGGCATACATGCATGCTCATGTGCTCACACATGCACTCACACACACATTTAGTAGACAACATCTACTGGCAGTCAGCATCCATTCCTATCCCCAGTCCTCTTGTTAGAAATAAATCACCATGGTCCATCTTCAGTATGAGGTGCATTCAGAACTCATTAGAGTTACAGATGTTGAAGAAACAGCCCCTCTGCCCAGCTGTTGGCCCCTGCTTGTTTCAGGACTCTTGAGAGCTAGAGACTCACAGAAAAGGGGGCAGCCTCGGGCCCCTAAATATTCTCCAACTGAGTCTCTGTGGCCTAAACCAGTAGGATGGGGACTTTAGAAGGGCAAGTCTCAGACTGTGGGAAAAGAGAAATTTCCAGAGGCTTTAAAAACCACTGTCATGTCCCATATTCACATACCAGCTGTTTTACCTTTTTTCTGTTTGTCTCTTTCTGTAGGGGTATGTTTAAAAAACTGCTGCTTCTACTAGCATCTAGACTTCACTATCTTGCTTCTCATCCTTTCCCTCCTGCAAAGACTGGAAGCCTAATTTGATTTCTTTGTTCCTTCCTTTCCTGGGTCCTCTGATTTCCATTCCTGCTTCACTGTGCTCACAGATCTGTAGGCCACCCTTGTCTTGTTCCTAACCTCAGGTGAAAACATTTACTCTGTTACTAATGATTCCAGTATTAGCTATAGGGTTTCCACAGATACCTTTATCAAATGCTGGAAGGACTTTTGTATTGTTTTTGAAAGTGTTTCTTACATTGTTGTTTTTCTGAGACCTTATCAATTATGGATTCTATCATTACACAAAATGATGAGTATTGCCAGATGTATCTACATACATGATCACAGGGGTTTAAAGTCCTCTCCTGTTTATTCTATTAGTACTGTGAATCTTACTGATTTCTAAGTACTATCAAGCCCTGGGCTTCCGAAGTAAACAGCACTTGGCATCACACATCTTCCTTTTTACACTAATGAAATCAAGTGCTAAGGATGTTTTTGTTACCAGGAGTCTTTAGCATCTGACTAATTGAAAATGCACTGTCAGGATGTTTCCTTTCATCACTGGAGATCTGCAATCAGCAACAGCACCTCTGACTACATTTGGATGAATGGTTTGTTGTTAGGACCACCTGATGGGGGTGGGCACAGAAGAATTGGAAGAAAAAGTTCTGGGGCATACCCGACCTTTTAACACTGTGATACAACATTCATGCAAAGGTCATTCTTGAGCACTGTACAATTCAATTAATAGGGGGAAGCAGTGCTAAAGAGACGTCTGAGCAGGTAACTAAGGGCACTGGCTGTTCTTGCAGAAGATCCGAGTTCAATTCTCAGCACACAATCATTTGCCAGGGAATCTGACACTATCTTCTGACCTCTGCAGCCATGGCAAGCACACAGTACAGATGGACACATACATGCAGGAAAGCAATCATACACATAAAATAAAACCTCATTTAAACAATCTCATAGGGGGAAATAAGAATAGAACTGTTTAATAAGATATAAACCAGATAGTCATATTACTTGCTTTACTGAAAATGAGATGACTATGCCCAGTCATAGTTTTTCTCTTTTAGCATCCCGAAACACTGGTTAGAATCAAAGGCCTTTAGTTATTATCAATATATTAAATTATATTATATAATTTTATTATATAATTATATTATATAATATTATACTGTTAGTAAATATTCAAGCCATCAATATCATTTATGCTATTCTATTTTTAATTACATTTCTAGATCATGTTAGTGCTCAACTTGAGTGGCCCTGAGGCTATAAGGCTGGCACTCTTACCATGTAGGTTGACTTGTGGGCTGCAGAAGTCTCGGCAGCATCACCGCCACGGCTCAGGTGTCAGCAGGGACAGCGAGTGGGATCAGAACTAAATGGGAAAATAAAGGAAAAAATTAATAATAGTAGCTTCACCTAAGCCTGAAATTCAGATTTTACAATTTAACAACTTCACCAAGGGAGCCCTAATCCCAGAACTGCTGGATTTTTGTTTTGTTTTTTAATTCATTTAAACAAAGATCTACTGCAGTATATAAAGCTTTATTCAACAGTAAGATTTTTTTTTAGGTATTGTTACCACCTCTATTGATTTAGTCAAATAATATTGATCCATCATGTAAGAACAGTTAATTTTTCCCAACAATATTCATATTTAATAGTGTAGGGCCCTGCGTGGACCCCTGAGGCACCATGAGCAAGCCTGAAGCTGTTGGCTGGAACATCTTGCCCCGGAGTTGTCATTGGTTCTCTTCCTGTTTTGCTAACACACTTCTGCTGGGGAGGAGCTAAGCCTGAAAGCCCTGTTGTTTTTCACTGTGCTGTGAGTCAGTGTATAAGCCCACCCCAGCCCCTCACTAAATGGCATTTGGCATTCTGACATTGCAGTTGAACGAATGACCCACTGTCTTTTCTCTTATTTCAGTCTCTAGGCCTTTGCCCGATTAGTGGGGCAGATTGTAGCACGGGTGCTACATAACAGAATCTTGATAATTGTACTACAAACATTTTGAAGGTGAAAAATAAATGGAGATAAACACTGAAAAAGGCCTTTTAGACACCAAACACATAACACCATCAAGGAAATGACTGAGGAAGAATCCAAATGAGAAGGTTGCTGCAAAATCAGTTTGTGCAAGACACTGAGAACAATGCAGCCTAGAAGTAGTATGTATCTTGCCAAACCACCTCTAAGCAGTCACCAGTGGCCACTTAGCGGTCACCAGTGGCAGAAGTCAAACCTGGAGGGCGGGCCAGGCACAGGAAGATACGATTCTGAAACAGAAAAGCAACTTCAAGTCTTCCAAAAGAATTATCTGGACATGCCTCAGTTATACCAGTTCAAAAGACTTTGAGAACCAACACCGTGAAGCCAGCCACCACCCTGCTGAGAACACTTTTGAAAGTCAGCTATGTTGCTTGAAGAGTAAGAGAAATTCGGGCACTGGGGAGATGGCTAGACATGGCTGCCTACTGCTCCTGCAGAGGGCTGAACTCAGCTCCCACCAGCCACAACAGACAGCTCACAACGACTGTGACTCTAGCTCTTCTGATCTCCACAGGCACCAGCACTCACGGGAACATACACATAACACACCTGTGTACATAAAACCAAAAAGAAAATAAACCCTTAAAAAAGTCCCTTTTTCCTAAGTAACTTGTGTATGTTATCAATGTATTTATTAATACAAAAAATTATCCTTGGGTTTTGGATTGTCCAGGCCTCATTTTTTCTCCACTAAGTAATTTTAAGAGGAAACTATTACTATGGTCCCCAGTAGGTGGCGCTGTTTGGGAAGGCTATGCTACCTTTAGGAAGTAGAACCTTGCCTTAGCACATCTTTGGGGTGCTCTTTGAGGGTTACTGACCTCTCCCCACTTCCTGTTTTCTCTCCCTGCTTCCCATGTATGGTTGAGATATGATCTCTCAGCTTCCCGCTCCTGCACCACACCATGCTTTCTCCATCATGGACTCTATATCTCTGGAACGGTAGGCCAAAATAAGTTCCTCCTTCTAACAGCTATTCTAGTCACAGCATTTGATCACAGTGACAGAAAAGCAGCTAAGCAATCAATACTGTTAGGCTCACTTTAGAGAAGGGACACCTAACTGACTGCACCCCAGGGAGGGAAAGGGGCCAATGTCATAGTTTCTGAATCATTGGTTACACCCAGGAGCTCTCTGATCTGCGGGAAGTCCACCGAATCTCCACTTCTACTACTAGCTAACACTTGGTACACTCTGAAGTCAAGACCAATTCTAGAACCAACATTACACATGGGTCTGACTTAGTCATCTTCAGTGAAGAAGGTCCGAAGGTGACCTGTCCGGGATCACACAGGACAAGCCAGGGCCCAGATGAGTCTCTCTTCATATGGTCTCTCTTCACACACAAACACATGCAGTTTTCTTCCCTGCAAAGCTGCTAACATTTCTAGTACAGGTCAGGAACCATAGAAGTCTTTGAGAATTAACTAGATAGTGTTAGTGGTAAAAGCCTGGGGCTGGAGAGATGACTCAGTGGTTAAGAACACTGGCTGCTCTCCCAGAGGACCTGGTTTGAGAACTGGCACACATATGGCAGCTCACAACCACCTAAGGCTCTAGCTCTAGAAGATGTGATGCTCTCTAGGCATGTATGTGATACACATACATACATGCAGGCAAAATAGTCACACACATAAAATAAAATGAGTAAATCTAAAAACGATTTGTTTCTTCTTTTTTTGTTTGTTTGTTTTTTGATAGGTTTCTCTGTATAACAGCCCTAGTTATCCTGGAACTCACTCTGTAGACTAGGCTGGCCTTCAACTCACAGAGATCCTCCTGCCTTTGCATTCCTGCTAGGATTAAAGGCATGTGTCACCACCACCCAGCTCTAAAAACGAAATTTTAAAGAGGTGAAATCTTACCAGCTCTGGGGCACAAGCTCTGTAGAGGCTGCATGGCTCCAGCTCTTCCTGTGCCCCAGGTTAAGCCCAGCCTGTGTGGTTACCATCCAAGAGCAGACAATAGCTCCTGGCCAGCTCCTGCCCATCATGTTCCTCTGTCTGGATCACTCATCTCAGCTCTGGCTTCCAGTTACCCAAAGCATCTCTGCCCTTCAGAATGCAACCTACCCCTGGCTCTCACACTCACTTTCATACTATCCTTCTCAATCTTCTCAGTTGACACATTTGTAGTTATATATATGTCAAACAGCACGTGTGTCCCACTTTGCAATGACCAAAGCCCTATCCTGCATCCCAAAGCATCTCTCAATACACCAGAAGAAGCAAGTGAGGTTTGAGGTAACCAGTACTTCACAGAGGATACAATGGTGCAAACCAGCACAGGGCAGGGGCCTGCCATGTGCAGGGAGGCCATGGAAGGGCTATAGATTTAGAAATTGACTTTGAGTTGTAATTTAGATGGCGGCGATACAGCCTACACTAAGATGGGGGAGAGGTTTCCAGGGAATGAAGTAAGAGGTGCAGGCCATGGTCAGAAGTGGGAGGGAAGGCTGAGCTGACTCACAGACAGGGGAGTCGAGGAATACTGTAGGGGAGCCTGTCCACCTAAGCTTCTGGAGGGAAATCCTCCAGAGGACAATGTTCAATGGGACAGCCTCCAGCTACCTGCAGCACTGGCCTGGATGCCAAAAACCCAGCCAGTATAACAGAGAGACTGATTGTTTTATTTCATTGTAATTAATGTTAACATAAGCAATGATATGAAGCAAGTGGCCACTGTGCCGAACAGCACTACCCCAGAGGTTCTGGCTCAGAGAGTTGGATAGAAGCTTCTATTACAGGTATCTAGGAAAGAAATACAGTGAAGAATATCATGAATATACTCAAGTATTCACTGACTCCAAGAACAAACAAATCAAGGACGGAGAGTGGTTTTTGGAGAGCCTCACCACCTTCCAAAATCCCATCAAAGATGCATATACTTTCGGCCATTTGGGTTCTCTTTAACGGCTTCAACATGACAGCATCAAAATGCAGTCCTGTGGTCTCCAGGCAATTGTTAAAATGTTGCTACCAAGTAAAAATCACTTAGAATAAATACATTGTAAAGCCATAGAGAGTCACAGCTTTGGATAAATAACCACCCAGTTTTGTTGTTGTTACTGCTTTCTGTCTTTTCCTAAAAGCAAGAGAGGGGAGAGGGGCAAGGGCCAGACATCTTGTATGATAACGAACATGAATTCAGGTAACTTCAAATGCATTTCACATCATTTGAGTCAACAGCAGTACAAATTCTCTTCAGTGCACATTTCATTTCTCAGCCCCCAGCATGAGACTGGCCTACACCTAGGAGGTCTTTTCTACTGGTATTTTCCAAAGCCAGTGACAGTCAAGTGTTCCCTGGAATCAACCATTGATCTCACTTGCTCATGGCTTTTAAAGTCAATATAAAATAAGGAATTCTGTGATATGAAAATGCTTCCTGTCGAAACAGACTGTATCTAAACTGCTCGCTGTTAATCTGCCCGGATTCCCCTAATCTGGTTGCATAAAACTTGCTGACTATTTTGGTCCATGTCATGGCTCTTAAGCCTCCCAATCCTAGTTTCACAGAAGTCAGCAGCTGATATAATACACAGCTCACAGGTGGTCCCTCGTGGATGTGGTCCCTCCTGGTGGGCTGTTTGCTTGCTTCAGTCCCTTGGTCCACTCCCTTAACTAGACCCTATTTCCAATTAGATCAGGCCAGCAGTGCTCTCAAGTATTCACAAATGAAGTTCTGTTTGCCACACCCTGCCTGATCCTATAAAATGTGTGGTCACTATTAGTGTCCGAAACGTACGCAACATTTCAGAGGAATGGGGAGATAGTTCAGCAAAGGAAAGAGAAAGGAAGGACAGGAGGACAAAAAGAGAGGGCGATGGATGGAGGGACAGGGAGGGAGGGAGAGTGGGGTCATGGAGCATATGTCTGGCACCAGCAGCAGCTTTGCTGTTCTCTCTGATCTCTGGAGTTTAGTTGTATTACCATTACATTACGCATCTACACCTTCTACAGCAGAACCAGTAGGACCGTGCTTATCTGGCTCCGCTACTCAATACTGTTCTGGTGGAAGCTTCACCCCAGCCCATGGTATCCATATACCCAGAGTCTGGAGTGTTCTGGTAGACATTCCACCCTCCAAACCCTGCTGCACCTCAGGAAAGCCACTAAATGATGACCCCCTCCCCCAGAGATGCTCGAGACCACTCCCACAGGGTATTTAAATCATTCCCCATAAAATAGACTGATGATTTTCCAGTCTCTCTTTCCCATCTCCTCTCTGGGGGACAGGAAGGCCATCTGGGAGCACTGTATCCATTAAACATTGGCTTTTTCTAATTTGGTTTGATTTGGTCTTACTTGGATTGCTTTGTCAGC